GATTGGAGGATAAGAGTATATCTGACTTTATCAGACCCATGGACAGCTTGTTTTATCAGATTATTCTTTTCAATCCCACTTGTAGTGTTGCTGTGATGTTTGTCCAAATAGTTGTATTCCTCAAACTGGGGTGCAATTTGAATCATTTTTGTCTAAACTCACATTATAAAGTTGTCAGTGTTGTTGGGAGTTTTGCTAGGGTGGTCGCTAAGGTTTTGGTGCTTGCTATGTACTAATACGATATTTGAGGTGGTTGGGAGAGTGTATTTTGTATTTGGTATGGTGAAACTGGGTAGTTGGTTGCTAGTAGGGCTGCAACTAACGATTATTTTTATTATCAGTTAATCTGTTGACTATATTCTATACATTCTCACTCCCAACTCGTCACATGGGCCCTTGGTCAAGACCCCTTGGCGTCCCTTTTAATGCCCTGTGTTCCCCTTTAGTATTGATTTTGGACGTATAAGGCTCCGTGGTCAAGTTAACAATTATAAACATGCAACGTCTGGTTATTTCTGGACATTAAAAACTAGTGGTGAATTGTGTGAAAAGGCACATGGTTAACATTGTGAATTGTTGCAGTTTGGGTAGATTTAGGCACCAATAGTACCTCGTTAGGTTTAGGAACAGATCATGGTTTGGGTTAAAAATCATTCAAATGTTACTTCACTAAAAACAATCAGTTTTGACTTTGTTTCACATGGGAAACAAATACTGGTTTCCTGGGCGAAAGTCCAGTTTCTGAACCCCCCTGACCATTTTTATATCCTACAACAGCTTTTAGCCTTCACACATGATACTACAGGGCTTCCCCAGTGCATTGAACTATGATGCTAAGAGGCTTGTCAATGCGTTACAAACTGATGCCAGTGGGTCTTGAACATGCTTCAATATCTGACAACTTGGAAAATCATGAAAAATGTGCACTTCTACGGTCCACGGTGATGTGTTGTACAACTAATTAAGATTCAGTTCACTATAATGTATGACAGGAAAGGAACAGCATCAAATCCTGAAGTGTGAGAAGCTGGAAGCATGCGATGTTTGCAATTTTTCTAAAAAATAATAGAAATCATTTGTTGTTTGTCTTCCAGATTTTTCTGTCATGCACAGACTCGGAGCAGACAAGTGCTTTGAACAATAAAACTTGTTAAAACACCAGTCTTTGTCATCTGAATCCTGTCAAATGTTCATATTAATGAATGAATTGATTTTTTTGGAAACATTAAGACTATTTGAGTGTTAATCATCAAAGTTGCAGTATAGTAATGTAAATTTATAAGTAATAAATGTGACAATACTTGCTCTCAATTTTAAATGTGTGTGTTTTGGATGTGTGATCTCTGCAGCTCATATGATGAACTGATGCAGAACAAAATGCTTTGTATAAGAATGCTGAAAGTGTTTTGTTATATTAACAAGAATCCACCCGGCTGAGAAGAGAAATGCAGTCTCACCTGTTTCTCTCTTACACACCTTAGATAAAACACACACAAACACTATTCACACTGACGCACATCTATCAATAGTTGGAGCAGATATCAGAACAGTTGTCAGTGAGTTTGGAGACGCAGGAAAAGAAGCTACTGAAATGGGTGTTTAAAACATCAGCACAGATGTGGTTAGTAATGTGTATTTATGCTTAAAAAATCCTCCAATCAGAAATGGAGACATATTCAACAAATACTTAATTTTTATATTATATGTTGGTATATGAAACTCTTAAATTTACTTTTCACACTATTGTGCCACAGGGAGGCCAGCTTGCAGCAACAGCACCACTATTTGAATATCATTTCAATCATTTGTGCTGCATGGGGCTGTATGATCTATAGAGATCTGAATTGAGATTACATAACACAAACACACAGTCAATTATGTCTATTCCTTCATTTTAATACAGTGATGTCATACATAATTATTTATAAATATGATTGTACTAGACTATACATTATTATACAAATGTATTTAATATCGCACACATAGGTGATTAATCCTAAACATTTAAGCTCTTCTACAAATTTCCAAAAATGTAAAGGAAAAACAGTTTAAAATATAGTGGTGCCAACGACATAGCAGTCTAACTTTGGTTAATGTAATTGTTGTCCTAAGATAACAGCATTAAACATATACTTTAAGCTTGACATTTACCTTCAGTGGTATGTCTCATTAGTTTAAGCTTCCAAGGATCCACCACTTTGATCCACACTGAAATATCTTAACTTTTGGATTGCCATTCATTTTTGTATAATCATTGTCCCCAGAGGATGACACCTTATTCATTTGCTGATGTAGGGCAACTATCAGGTAAAACATTCTCACTACTTTGGTTATGAACCAATACGTACTAAACTACTTCTTTTCACATCAGCCTTAACTATCCTTTTTGTTTAGTGGTAGTCAACAAATATTAGCATGCTAAAATGCTACATAGAGTTGGTACTGATGGTGCTAAAGGGGTCTATTCTTGATCTATTACTATTTACATTATATATGAATGACAATATTCTTCCAAATCAGTGCGGCAACGTCCGTCTTAATGCAGATTACTGTATATCACTGTTTTTTGCCTCCAACCCAAGATCTTACAAATCTTCTGTCTTTGATACTGATATATTACTAGATATTATATACATTATAAACTTATTTTAAATAAGTGCTTAAATGTGGCTACCGTTTTAAACTTTTAATGGTACCTAAATGACTCTTACTGACTCATAAAATTCCTGACTGTCATTGAAGATTCAAAATCTAAATTTTACCCCCAATTATAAAATAATTTCTTAAATTATTTTATAATACCCTCATCCTGATTCAGTCTTTGGTTTACAACATTGTAATTTTCCTGCCCGCTGTAGAAACAGCAAAGGTAACACAAATCTGCTGGGCAGATCGAACCAGGATGCGGAAAACCACCACACACACAAGTCAATAAGAATTGATGAAGTGTAAATTACAGTGGAAAGCAGATCCCCCCCAAATCTTAACAATAGCACTGCCATTATAGCCATGATGGTGTGGAAAGCCCTTTGCTTTGATTGGTCAACCCGCTCCCTGTTCCCACCCACTTCCCCCGGCCTGGGACGCTTGAGAGTGTGGAGAACTGAAATGCTGCAAAATGAGATGACGATTAAGAAGAAAACAATAGTGCAGTAATATAAGATCAAATTTAACATATTGCTGCTTAGACAATTTACAGCTAACCACCCAAAGCTCAACAACCAAACACATCCAGTGCAGATGTTTCTGATCCTGACTCCACCCGCCTGTCGCAGGCGCAGGTGGATGATGGGGTGAACAACAGCCAGGTAGAGCTCTGCACAGGTCAGGAGTTGAAACAGAGCCTGTCCTAGGGAGTTAACAGACGAGATGCTTGAACCCACTGACACCATCTGTGGGAGATTGATGTAGCCGCTCCAAAAACAGAAGACGAAACCCAAGTATTCGATCAGCTGCATGGCGATGGAGTGATAGGTGAAGACGTCAGAGTGACTTGTTGCAGCCGTGGAAACGGAGCGCTGTTTCCTCCACTGTTGGTATCCCAGGTAGAGGACGAAGATGAGGAGAGGGAGGAGGAGGAGGTGGATGATGGAGATAGTAGAGAAGACAATGATGCTCATTTTGGACCTGAAACACGTGTTGAAGAGAGGAGGGACGGAGGAGTTGGAGGAGGAGAGGTTATGAGGAAGAAGGGAGGGGTCATCAAAGGAAGAGGAGTTGACTGACATATTTATATAAGCAGAGGCCTGAAGAGAACAAAGAGAGGGGATGAGAGACAGAATGTTAAAACCAAATGGAGAAAGTAAATAATCTCTCTGATATTCATGATCATGAAATGAGGTTTTTCAATTAAACTCCCCCTAAAATGTATAGCCCTTTATCAAAGCTGCAACTTGATGCTAACAAAAGTAAAAAAAATCTGTTTTATTTTTTTGTTTAGCGTGACATTCAGGGTAACCAGGCATGGACAGGAACAAAGTGGTGAAAATATAACGCGGTGGTGTTGGAGCAGTGGATAAGACACATGCATTTGGTGTGAGACACCCTGGTTCAAGTCCACTGTGACACCAATGTGTCCCTGAGCAAGACACTTAACCCCTAGTTGCTCCAGAGGTGTGTGACATCTGACATATATAGCAATTGTATTGCAATTGCTTTGGATAAAAGCGGCAGATAAATGTAAATAACCATGTGTTGCCAATCAACGCTTGGCCCTGTATCTTAAAGAGTATCCACGTAAAAGGGTCAAAAGGGACTGAGAGAACCATGTAACCATCTGATCTATATACATAGAAAACCAATGTTTCTCAGGACGATCCTGAATCTTCTGTCTGATGTCTTTCTTCACCTACAGTTATGTTCTTCAATGGCAGAAGTTACATGTGCTATTTTTTTATGGTTCAGGTTCTCTACACTATTCAGAATCAGAGGTTGAACTGACAAGAATTATTTCATGATAGATTTTAAAAAGTAATCAAAGAAGACATTTTGGATAAAATACTGAAAGGAATAAACACATTTAACTTCACATAAATCAGTGGTTTCCCAAACAATACCAACTTAGCTAATTGAAATACAAAAACATATCTGAAAGCCTGAATATGCATTTTATTGTGTGAGAACATGAAAGTGGATTAAGCGTATTAGTGTAATTAGAACCAGAAGTTATCAACAAGATCAGTGAAACAAATCAAACTTTAAATAAAGTCATCACAAAGAATCATTTTTTTTTTAAGATATCAACAGTCTATTCAAAAGTGAATTAATAACTAATTCTAAATGTTAAATAAATGTGTAAATTTTAAAGAACACCCACCTTCACAGAGTTTCTTTCTGATTGTCTTTCTCCTGTGTCTCTCTGTGACTGCTGTTTACTGGTGTCTGGTATAAATTTATCCTACCTGTGATTATGGTGTGTGTGTGTGTGTGTGTGTTGACTATGATGTTTGTGTGTGTGTGTGAGGAACAGGTGTGAGCAGGACTGTGAATTTTTTTGCAATTCATATTTTATTTTTTTACGGTAAATTACAACAGGCAAATATATTTTTCACATTATTGTGCCATGGGGAGGTCAGATCACAGCAACTGCACGACTATTTGACTATCGTGGCAATCATCTCTGCATCAGGCTGTCATCTGTGCTGCATGACCTGCATACAGATTATACAGAGAAAACACACAAGTAAGTAAATTATAATGACATTTATTCCTATAATTTAAAAGCAGTGATGCCTTACATCATTTTACAATAATAACACTGTACTGCATTTTTAATATAATTTTAAATGACTCATAAACAAAGAAGTGTGTATTCAAATCAAATCCTGTCATTTAGCACAGCACACCTGTCTGTTTGTGTGCAAACAGACTCCAACGTTGTCCACCAGATCTTCTCACAAAAACACAGAGTGCAAATATTTTGTTGTCCAAGACAATCGAAGATGCAGTCAGTCTGATAATCAATGCAGACTGGGACTGCTACAGTATTATTTATACACTTTAAGCTTCACATTTACCTCGGTGGTATCACAGAAGGTCTTATTGGTTTAGACTTTGTCATGCGGCATTGCTGTAGAGCAGTGTAGGCTCTACTGTTAGTTACTGGGTTTTTAAAATTATGTACTATTCCACGTATTTGTGAGTTGTGTCGAATAAGAGTGACAGAGAGCAGCAGACACACACAGGCAGGAGAGGATCTCTTCCCCGCAGATCATCACAGTGAGAGATGGTTCTTTAACTTCATTAGTGCAGAAGAATCAACACACTCCAGTTGGGCTCAAGCCCTAATGGAGTTATATAACTAAAGTTCAGGAACAGGACCGTGACTCTCTCTCTCGATTATTCAGTCACCTGCGCCTCATTCAATTACGCCAATCCAACCACCCATGCTTCACTTTTTTCATTCATCTGTGCCTCTCTAATCAGATCACCTGCACAAAGGCATATAAGCCTGTCTAACCCCCTTCTCTCCTGTTTCTCAGTTCTCACATCCCTCCCCCCAAACCCAGTTTCTCACCTCTTTCAAGGGGCATTTCAATGCCCCGGTGGACAGCACTGCGACCTCACAGCAAGAAGGTCCTGGGTTCAGACCTCGCTCAGCCCAGGCTGTTTTGTGTGGCGTTTGTGTGTTCTCCCTGTGTTTGCGCGGGTTTCCCCCGGTTGCTCTGGTTTCCTCCCACTATCAAAGACATGCATGGAAAAAATCCATAATTCTGCCAAAGTAACTGTTCTTTTTCAACCACAGAAACTACTGAGGGGTTGATAAGCAAGCCGCTTACCGAGATGAGCCACCGCCCTGAGTCTTGACCCCCAGGTTCCTAGCCACACCAAACCTTTAACGACCTCCATCATCCCTCCATTCTTGACGTCTTCATCCCTCTCCCCTCGAGCCCTCCACCATAAATACTGCTCATTTTCCGAATAAACTACCTTTTCATACGTCACATTGGCGTGGTCTTTGTTAGTGAATTGAATGTAAATCAAAAATATTGGGGTAGTTTTGCTTGGTATGGCCACTGGCCAGAAAATGAAATGTTTACAATGTAAAATCACAAAGGTTCCCTTTTCTAATGGCAGCTGCTGTAGTGGAACTGATGTGTCTTTAAACATGGAAAGTAAACTTTTTTTGAAAAGGAAGATGAAAGATGCTGAATGAGAGACTTCGATGAGTTACAGAAGCTAATTGTTGTGGTGGCAGCCCGGCTGACGGTGAGTGTCCTGGTTTTTTCTCCTTTTTTATCAGTTTTTCTGCTTTTTTTCCTTGGTTTCCTGTTCTCTGCCTGCCTCCATGTGTTTTCTCCCCTGTGTGCTCTCTCTCCCTCCCTCTGCTCCTGAGTCCAGCCAACTACCTGCACCTGCATCTCATCAGCCACCTCGTCAGCCTGCCACACCTGCCAGTAATCACCTCATGACTGCCTGTATTTCAACCCCGGTTCTCCACACCATCCTGGCTTGATCGTCGTTGCTCCATACTTGGTGCCACTTCTGTGTTCAGGCTTCAATGTTTCTTGTTTTTTCACACTTACCTGTTTCCCTCCCAGGTACACTCACCCTCGTCCTCTGTTCGGCTGGGCTCATCCATTGGCCCGCTCCTCTTCGGACTTCCCTCACGGTGTCCTCCCTGTTCCCCCGCCTCTCCTCGCTTCCTCGGCCCCTGTGTTCCCCGGCTCCCTGGCTCCCTGTCTCCTTGGTTCCCCGTGCCTGTACTTCCCTCAATAAACCTCCTTCCCTGCATTTGGGTCCTCTCTGTCCACACACCACACCTTGTAACACTAATGCACAAGAAGCTTGACAGGAAGTGATGTCATGACTTTCTGTAAAAAAAAAAATGAATCAATATGTTTATCGCCAGAATTCTGTAGTGTGTAATGGAATTCACCTTTGAGTTATTTCTTTACATACACTTGACACATAAGACCTGGGGCCTCATTTATAAATGTTTTTTTTATTATGTTTTTATTCCTTAGTGTACTGTACAACTCCTCCCCACTCCTCCTCTCTCTACCTCCTCCACCACCTTCTTCTTCACCTCCTCCTCCCTACTCCTGCTCTGCCTCCTCATCATCCTTCTATCCCATCTCCTCCTCCAACTCCTATTGCTCCTATTTCTTCACCTCTAATTGCAGTTTTTTACAACTGCTTACACAAAACTATGTCTCCTTTTTTCAAAACTACACACACAATTCCCCAAACTGCTCACACAAAATGCTTCTTATGTCCTTCAAAATGAAACACTGCATTGAAAATGCCATAAACACATCCCAGAATGAAGCATTGGCATCAGATGGCAAACACTTTTTTCATAATAATAAATGATTGGATATACCATTTACACACTGTTGTTCTAAATCTAAAGCTCTTTTGTCTTTCATAGGCTCATGTGTACATTTCCATACAATATTCTCGAGTGAAAGTAATCTGCTGAAAAGTGCACTGTAAACATCAATGCAATGTTAGCACAGTGTACAATATATACCTAATACAAGAACAAGAAACCATAAACATTAAAACTAAGAGTATTATTTTTACTTTTATTGCTAAAAATGAATACTTATTTTGAAATACTGTACTGTTGAAATAACCATTAGATTGTTGCAACCTGTTCTGATTTCTGAAGGTTCAAATTATGGTTGCCAATTTAAAGTGACTCAAGTTTGGTTTTTATCATGTCATCAGTGATGGCTCTCCTTCCTTCTCTTCTTTGCCCACATCCTCTTCGTCCTCGTCCTCCTCTTCCAACTCTTCATCCTTGAACTTGTCCTCGATGTCTCCCTCCTCCTCCCCTTGCAACACAGTCTCACTCCCTACTCGTCAAATGTCTGACGCATGGTCAAGGCCCTTTGTCGTCGCTTTTTAAAGACTTGGGTAGCCCTTTTGCATCAATTATTGACGTTTAGGGATCCACAGTCAAGTTAGCAACGCTTAGCAACAATAAATATGCAATATCTGGTTACACTTTCAAGATAAAACGTAACGTTTGATACATTGCCATGTTGAAACGCGCATAATTAAAGTCGTGAAACGTTGCAGTTTCGTTAGGTTTAGGCACAGAAAGTACTTGGTTGGGTTTAGGCAACAAAACTACTTGGTTAAGGTTAGGAAAAGATCATGGTTTGGGTTAAAATAGCTATGTATGTCGTATTAAACGTTAATGTCAATTTACCTCACTCGCCTAAATAAAAACATTTAATGTTTTGTTTCGCACGGGACACAAACCCTGTTCTCCTGCTTCAAGGTCCGGGTTCTGGCCCCTTATCCACCCCAATCACCTCCTTACTTCGTCTTTTCTCTTAAATATCATACTTGCCTTTACCATCAAAAACTGACACAACAGGGCTTCCCTCAATACGTCGAACTATGACGTCAAAGGGATCCCTAGTGCGTCACAAACTGACGATTATGGCTCTTGACCAAGCGTCCATATGTGACGACTTGGGAGTGAGACCGGGTTGCCCCTTGCTCTCTGTCCATTGTTGGTATCCAATGTTCAAAACAGGTAATCTGACCTTTGACCTATGTATAGGTCTACTGTATACAAAAGCAGTGATTGGTTAGTGATCAGTTAAGCTGTTAGTGTTTGCACATGTGAGGAGTGGCTGTGTGACTTGGTGAATAAAGTGTAGCATTTTGATTGATAGGATAAGGAAAACAAGTCACTTCCTGTTAGACGTTTGTGTCTTAGGTAGATAAATGTGTGTAGTGTTTTGAAAAAGGAGTTTTATGTAATTGAAAACTGAGTGAAAGGCTGAGAAATAGCTAATGGTTTTGGATATTTCAGGTGTAGTTTTGCTGTTTGAGTGAGACGTTTCAAAAATTGTGTGACATGTAAAGAGTTTGTTTGTAAGCAGTTCTAAAATATTTCTATCTATTGAAAATTCTGATTGGTGTGATATCAATTTTGACACTTTGTGTTTCCACATGGGTAGCTGTGTGCTAACTGAGCTCACCCTGTGCTGATTGAGTGAACAATATTGAATGCCAGTGCTTTCTCAATGACCACATGCTGTAGGCAATGAGAAATGAAGGGATTTGTAGAGTTTAGAGAAATGGTGTGCTTTTTGAAAAATTGAGTTATGGTTTTGAAATTGTAGTTCAAAAGACTGGTTATAGTGTTTAAGCAATTGAGAAAAACTGTATTGCCATTTGCTCTGATACAGTAAAATGTACTCTTAAATGATCCAGTCAAACGTACTCTTGTCTAAACCACACCAGTCCTTTCTAGTACTCTTTGTTGTAACGACGACACAGTAGTTTCCCAGCCCTATGTAGAAACAGCAGCGGTAAAACCAAACTGCTGGGCAGATTAAACCAGTTTCCAGATACATCACACATCCACAAACCACAACCACAGCACTCCCAATATGGCTGTGACCGTGTGGAAAGCCCTCTGCTTTAATTGGTCAGCACTCTCCTCATCCCACACTTCCTGGCCCTGGTCGAATCAGAACACAGAGAACAGAAAAGCTGCAGAGAGAGACCACAAATAAGGAGATGACCAATAAGCAGAGTAATGGGATGCTGGGAAAATAAGGGGCATACAATGCTGTTATCCCAACCCATGCAAAGCTCAGCAGGCAAACACAACACTAATGTTTCTGATCCTGACCCCACCTGACTGTCTCAGGCCCATGTGTATCACCTCCACACAGGTCAGGATGTGAAAGAACATCTCGCCGGGAAAAGTCATGGTAGAAACGTAGAGCCCTACTTTTGTCATCATTGGGAGATCAGTGTAGGCACCACAAAAGAAGAAGATGCACGCAACAACACAGGTCACAGCTGACTTGTGACCTCTGATGGTTATGATAAGGATAATGTGCTCCATGGGGCTCTCAACACCTTTAATAGGACGTAGCTGGCTAGAACTTTTGGGCTGTATGAGACGTCACATGTCCTAGGATTGTCTATGAAGATTCTCAGTCATCCAGGTCATAGTTATCCAACGAAGGTTAAAATCAAGGGCAACTGGACTTGGTTGAAGATACTGGAAGACGTTTCGTCCCTCATCCAAAGGACTTCTTCAGTTCTGACTGACTGGCAGGGAAACTCAGCTATTTAACCTCAGTGGGGTCGTTATCCCGGGTCATCGATACCGCTGGTTCGTTAGTGTTCCTTGTTGCTGTGACGACAGTCGTTACAGTCGTTAAGACTACCTGTGGCCAAGACTGAACGACCATAGTTGGTATCTTCACCTGAGGCCAATAGGTTACGTTTGTTGAGTTTCCTGGGAAGTGATGAAAGGACAGCATTGTAAGTGGGGGATAAGTGGTGGCATAGACCCCCTCCCCTGTTCAATGACGGCTTCTCAACCCAGGTGTAGATCAGTAAGACTGAATGCTTTGCAGTGGAGAGCTTAATTTTGACCTGCATATAGGATGTTTGGGGAATTGGGTGAGAAGTTGTGGATTTGTGTTTGGAGTTTCGAGAAAAAGTGGCATAATTTCAAGAAATGTGTTTAAGCAATTGAGAAAAATTGCAACAAAAATGCTGTTGTGGTAGACTTTTACACTCACTTTCCCAATATGTCTTGCTTAGCATGTTCTTATAAATGAGCAACTTATCAATCACAATGGAAACAAGCATAAAATTGCTGAAATTGCATTTTAATTAAGTGTAACCACAATAAAGCTCTGTGTCTGGTAAGCATAACATTCACTAATCAACCACATCAGAATGACAGGCAGCCAGCTAAAATGCAACTATTGTGAAAAATAATGTATTTCATACAAGAAAATGAACATTAATAAAAAAAAAAATATAAGAACATTTTAAAAGATCTTGTTAAATTTAAATATAACACAAAATGTTTTGATTTATTGAAAGAAAACAAACTTTCTACAGAGTTGTAGTAATTCAGAGATTTATCAAATCTTTTAAACTGAGAGACGTTCTTGATAACAACAGTATTGTGTATTTTGTGTAGTGATCTTCAAAATGAACAATCTTTTGTTGGAACACAATCTGTTAAAAATCTGTATGTTTCTAACCTCAGCCAAAAAGACCCCTGGGAAAAAACTTAACAAATTCATTCTTAAGAGTGTTTGATAATATTATTAAAAGATGAACCATTATGGCCACCGTTATTTTAAAATATGAATTGAGATTTATTAAGTTGTTACAGTTTTTCTCAAATGCTAAAACACAAAAGCCAATCCTCTAAACCAAATGACCAGTTGTCTAAACACATTTACTAAATCTAGCCATCATTTTCCAA